CACACACACACACACACCTCTCGTGCCCTCTCCCTCACACCTTGCAGTCAAAGTGCCTGTTAAAGCAGGAAACCTGCACTAGCACTAGCTTGGGAATCGATTTTCCCCCATTAGTTTAGATTTAAACATGTCAAAGAGCTGCAGATGGTTTTGACTTTTCCTGACTTCTTCTCCAGGCAAACATTGTATCTACTGTACAGTGGTTAGCTGGCCACATAGGGAACCACAAGGCCTTCATTCATTGTGGTGTGCGAGCGTGTCTGTAGACAGAACCTGATTCCCTGTGCTTTCTGCTCCCAATAAGAGACTGCTAGCTGCTTGTTTGATCTCCAGCCCCCCTTTCTGCCCTGCCTGCCTCATATAGTGGATTCAGATGTCAAACGGATGTTATTTTTCTTTCTGACAATCACTAGATGTTTCTCATCTCAAGAGAGCCTTCCGGATCAATGCCCTCCCGTGGCTTTTCTTTCAGCCTGAACCAGCCCTCAGAAATAACACAGACAACCTCGCAGAGAGAAAGAAAGTCCTCTGTTATCCTTATTCTCTATTGTAAGCAAGCATTTGATGGATTACAGTATGTACCAGGAGTCCTTATCTTGGTGGGATTTGAATAGATGTTAGACTACGTGATGGCATTGCAATCATACCTCAAAATAGGTAAACACGCAATACCCAAGATAATTCTACTGACCTTAACAGGATTAAAGTCAAAGTGTTTCCGACACTTGGACAGGTTAGAAGCACTTCTTGCATTTTCTAACACTCGTCTGTTTGTTTCACTGTCAGTCTCTCTCCTTAAGATGATAATGGGACTAGCTGTATTGTGCAGGGTTCTGAACATTCTGAACGTGCCATTCAGGCTTGAAGTGACTCATATTTGACCCTTTCTGTCTAAGCGGGAGGTACGGCTGTCTTTCTTCCTGACCTGTCTGTCGCTACAGTCAAAATCAAATTAACACAAGCTGACAGTCTGCTCCTGGAAGAATGATGATGAGCAGGTTTGACAAAGATGTAGATGTAGGCATAGTAGTACATTTTAGGTTTGCTTACTGTGGACGTGGGGGAAATATTAGAAAAGGCCCTGAATGGACAGTGAATTGAAAGGCTGAGAGCACATCTTCATTTCATTCTGACTATTCTCTGTGTTTGAGCATTGGCTGACAGATGTACAATCAGACAGACAGTTCCTCTCCTAAAGGTGAAAGCTGAGTGACACACTGGGGGAAGCCAAAAGATTCACTCCACCAGGTGGTAGCATTTAATTTGACTGTATTGATGTTTGTTTTGGGACTGCTCCTCAGGACTGATGTAACTCCAACAACAACCCTTTCCAAGATGTTCTGTTCTCTGAGTAGACACTGAGCAGACCTAGGCAAGCTTTTGAAGTTTTATTTAGAATTATGAAAGAAAGTGGGAAGCATGAGACCTTAGTGAAGGTGTAGGGGAGAGACAGCAAGACGGTGAGAGAGTGGTCTGAGAAAAAAAGCCGTCTCCAGTTTCTTCATCAGTTATGTTATGCAGATTCTTGGATCAGCTTTTCCATTACCAATATAAAAGGTAGCTTTAGATTTGTCTCCCTCTGGACTCTATTAAAAGTAAATGGTGACTGACAGGAGAGTGCAGAAGGTGATGTCATATGCCCACATTTTGCATCCCCCCCTCCCTCTTCTTAAGCAAGCATATATGACTGCCAGGTGATCACAGGGGATTTGGAGAGGCACTGGGCGTCTGTGAAGACCCAGCACCTCTCCTGATGAGTTGGCCCACAGTGCGTACTGTAGCTCATGTTTCCTTCAGTCTCACCACAAAGGCTCTGGCTTCTCACAGTGGGCAACAAGGGGCTTTCACTGGGGAAAGTACACTGCCTTGACATCTTCTGCCAGCCTTGGCTTTTCCTGGACATTTGGTATTGTGTGTGAGACCTTGGGTGTATCCAATTAGATTTAAATGTAGTTTTTTTTTTTCTCAGTTTTTAGGCGAAATGAAATGTTAAGAAAGGGTAATTGCTCCAGAACAATTGTAGACTGTGACCTTGTGGTTCCAAATATTTTCGAAGAGATGAAAAGATTCCACAACAAGACAGCAGTCAAACCACTATATTGGAAATCCTCTGACAACAATCTCTTCTTTTTAGTCATTGGAAAGTGGTCAGTAGATTTCCAGGTTGGAATAGCCTACGGTGGCTGATGTAACACTCTATACCAACATTCCCTAAAATGCCCTTGTAAGGGCAGGGTAAAATTACCTCAAATGTTGTAATGCAACTCATGTTGTGTCTGTGTGGAGATGTGGGAATAAACTTTAGGGGTTGGAAACTGCGCAACCAGCGGAAATGTGTAATTTGCTTGTTCTAACTATAATAAAGTGAATTCTCCCTGTGGCATTGTGTTCAGGCATCACTATGGCTAATATATAACTAAAAATGAGTGTTAGCTGTTGTTAAACAGTAAGCTTAGTTTCACCTGATCACTGTCACTAGATCTTAGGTTGGGGTGTGGAGGTATATTCTTACAGAAGGCAATTGAGACACTGATTTCTTTAAAAGTAGCACAACTAACGGACCTCACCTGAAGAACTACATGCTAAAAGAGGCTTTT